GGTGTCTCAATTAATTTCAAATGATTGTTCTTTCTAAGAGGATGGTTCTGAATTGGCATACCTCACAGCATCTAGCACAGCCCCAATATATGCATGCAGATATTCCACCCTTGATATGTCTTGCAATGTTGAATTGCGCCTGGTGTTTTGGCCTGCCAAAAAAAAAAAAAAAGAAGCTAAATTCATGAAAAACAGGTGGAAATACAGACTTCAAAAAATCAATGGTTTTCTTTTCAACTTGATGAGGAGGAGAGAATGGGTGTGGATCCACTAGTGAAGAAAATATTTAAAATTTTGTATATTGTGCTTCTGTGCTAGAGAGAAATAGAGGGAGAAACAGACCGTTTTCATGGATGTAGAGAGGGGGATTGCCGTAGGCTTGCTTAAAATACTCCAGAACTCCTTGAAGGGCCCAAGGATTTAAGGATAACTGAGTAGTAATGAAACTTCTTAGCAATACAGTTAACAAAACTTAAATAGAATAACCAGCACTTCAACAAGATCTTTCAACTCACCTCATTCATCGATGAATTGCCCAGAATGGCTGTCACAAATAAACAATCCATGAGGAATTTAATTTCATCTTTCCTATAACATCTCGAGAATGGTATAAAATAACTCATTAACTGAGCTAAAGGACATCATAAAAGCCTGCATGTGGTTCGTCTACAACACAGTGTTGTGAGCATGGAAGTTGATATCAATAATGTTGGGTTAATCAAGTATATGTAAAGAACATACGGACTAAAAATACACCCATATCTGTGTTGAAGTCCCTTTGCTCTGGATCCATACTGCTAGGGTTATTTTTGATGTACGTTGCCAAGTAATGTATTATGCCTAGGAAGTCGAATGAACCCCTAACAAGCTCAGATTCTTGTTTGGTGAAGGAAGGGAGTCTGGAGCCAGCTCTTTTCTTCATAATGTCAGGATAATCTCCATAGACCAAGGGATCTACAATCCTGGAGAAAAAGAAAAAAGGAAAGTCTTGGAGAGATGAGCAAATGAGCATTTGCAAGAGACTTCGTTTGGGATTCTTTGCTTACCAACCAAGAAGGAAGTCATTGACTCTTTTTGTTGCAATTTCGTCCTCCGTTGAATTTGTGAGCGGAAGAACCCCATATGCATAGAGGCTAACACCTATGGAACCGTGTTGCTTTTCCTACATCATCATGTTTTTCTCTTCAGGGGGAACTTTTCTTAGCAATTTCCTTAGTGACTCTGAAAATTTTGAATATTACCTGGTACTTTTTCTTGTACAATTTTGCAGCTGATGCATGTGACAACAGGATGTTATGAACTGCTATGTATGGCTCAGTTGAGGAGTTGCCTGCAGTGCAGTTAAGTCCAAGGGTAGGAGAACAACGCCTAGGTGGAGCCAATCCCGTGGAGTAACTTCCAATTGCAAGCACATTGGGTTCATTCACAGTCGTCCAATACAAAACCCTGTCACCAAATTCACGGAAACATACATCTGCATAATCTGTGAAATCTTTCCTGCATTCATTCACATTAAAGATGATTTTAATACATTGACACCTTTAGTGACTAATTTACAACTAGCACAGGAATGGCAAATTAAAACCAAGAAGAATAAGAATGGTACACAATCCTCTTGTTAAGCCATCCTCCATACTCATCTTCAAGTGCTTGTGGAAGATCAAAATTATATAATGTGACATGAGGTTGTATTCCTGCTTGTTCAAGCCAGTGAAATATATCAGTAGATTTTAAAGAAGTAACCATATTTTTCAACAACTAAGAAGTGGTGGAAAGTTGGCTGTAACCATGGCTAATTAGTTCATTGATGAGATTGTTGTAATACTGCAACCCCTTTGGATTTACAGGGCCTCTTCCATCTAAAATGTAAATGAAGATAAAATGTGAGAAAAAAGAGCAAGCTGCTCGTTTTTGCATTTGTTGATATGATTTGGTATTGATTTGGAAGACATACTTGGAATTAGTCTTGACCAGGAGATGGAAAATCTATAGGCATCTAAACCTGTTTCCACCATGAGTTTCACATCCTCCTGAAATTTCATTACGGTAAAAACATTGC